GGAGATATAAGATTTACAAACATCGACTTGACGGTTAGTGTCTTTCACGCTTGGGTGGACATATACCTAGAATAAGTAGCACACCAGAATCGTGAAAATAAGCACACGGAGGAAACAAATCACTTACCCTGAGTGAATATAATATGATAGTGGCAAGTGAAAATTTGTATTTCATTGGGGACAAGAAAAAAAGTTAATGACAAAAAAAAATTCGTGTTCTGGAAAATATACACCTACTACTATCAACCTGTTTCATTGAATTTCAGATTGATAACCGTTAGTGACTTATTCACTTGTCATCAGTGACTAAGTAACCTGTCATTAGTGACTCATTTATTTGTCAATAGTGACTTTTTCATTCGTGATTAGTAACCTATTCACTTGTCATTTTTTCTCCAGTGATGGAGATGAAAAAGTCACGTCACTTTCTATCTTTTGGAATATCATCGAAAGTGAAAAAAAATCCTGTATATATGCCAACAATATATATTTCATTCCAATCAGTATTTCAAAAGAACGACAGATCAAGAACTCAACACTCCACAGCTCAGAGCGCGACACCCAAACAGAGAATCTTCACGAATATTATATAGCAGTTGTTTAAAAGGACACTTGCATGACTTGACATTTCAATTTTACTGGCGGAAAAGCATGTATACTCCACAAATGCTAAGATCATAATAGAAGTCGTGGCGTCTAGGAGTGTTCGCGTTAGGCGTGGGCACTCGAATAATATATCGGAGATGTCCGAACGGAAAAAAAATATGTATGACCACAGGTTAGCTGTCACCTGCACCAATAGACTTGATAGATTGTTTTCATATAAGTTTGCCAGAGCAAGTGATTCCGTCTCAGGAAAATAATTTAGAAATGGTGAGTATTCCTAAACCTAGCAATAGTTTAGTGTTCAAATTAGCGAACTCAAGATACATATCGATTTGATTGATGCCAATAAGTGTAATTATCACTTACAGCAGAAACATTGTTTTATGAATATTGTTTCGCCTACTTCAAGTACCTTTTCACGTTTCAACTACCTACCATTGGTGAAAATTTTCTTGTCACGATCAATATTTTTTCAAGAAAACGATTCACTCGGCCGAAAAACGTGTGAAAAAAAAAGGTTTGGTTAGTGGTAGTTTTGTGTATTTTCGTGTGAATGTTTCCAGTGTTCGATATAATCAAATCTTGCTCTCATTTCGGGAATGACACCCTATAGGTGACATTTATTATTTGGTTGAGGATCATCACTATGAATATAACAATGTCAGATTTGAATAGAGTAATCGAAGCAGATCAAGAGACTGATCGAATGGGATTGACGAAAAAAAAATTCATAAATTCATTACAGCTCCTCTGTGATACACAACATCTCTGTATTCATTGACAGACCAGATTTGGCATCCAAAGAAACGAAGTTGATGTCCATTCCATCAAATCGGAAAATGGGGCAACAATTCATAAGCAATTCTCATGTCAGATCATTGAATACAAAAACTCCATAAAATTCTTCAGAGAAACGATATCAATCGTCCCTCAAAAAGATATTCGTTTTTAAACATGCTTTCGAATCATTCATGCATGGTCATACTACTCATGTTAACTGAGCTATGGTCTTTGTTGCTATTCCTCGAACAACCTACGGCGACTTTTTCACTCCATTGATTCTCGATTGCATGTTTGCTATAAAAATAAAACTTTTATACAACTGAACATGTTCTCATCAGGAGTAAATACATAAGTAATTATAGTTTCATCGATAAAAACATATTCAGTTGTATAAAGGTGTTATTGCTGAATGACAATGAAATTCGAATAAGATTTGAAATATATTCATCAATAAAAAAATTTCTCAAATTTATTTAAGGAAGATCAATACATAACTCTTGAATAATAGTGTATTATGTAACAAGTGTTATAAACGTCCTTTCAGTAACGAGTGGTTTAAGCACGAGTGGAGCAGAGCGGAGCGACTGTTTAATAAACGAGTGTCCAGAAGAGTTTATAAACGCGTTACATACTATGATTTTTCTACGAACTCCGAAAATTACATCAACATACCTGCAATTCCTGCTAACCTACAAAATAATTCGAAAGGATTGGGAATTGAGAACATAATACATGCAACTACATGCAACCAGCAAGACACGTATAAGTGATATTGGTTGTAGATGTGTCCAGTCCGTTGCTTACTAACCTTTGTTTCACGTTTATTGTCATGCTTAGCGCTTCATTTTTACACTTCTTGGAGATATGCAAGTACCAGAACATTCTCTTCGATTTTGGCTTTCGTCTACATTTCGTATATATTTTTAATAAAGAATTCTGATACAAACGAAAATTGTTCGAATTATTCTGATACAAAATTCGAAAACGACAGTTGACAGTTTATACAATTCACAAGCCAGACATGTCTCAAATTTACTGAAGCTGTGTTTAATGAACTGTGTTGCCATGGTAATGTGTTTAAGAAATCGTGTTGCCATGGTAACGTGTTTAATATTTTGAATAAATCACGGATCGTCAATCCGTAATTAATCGATCATTTAGCGTGGTACATATCCGTACGCTGAATGTCATTTCAGTTAGGTGAGTAGAAAAAGACATTTTTTCCCGATTGGCAGCAAATATTAATTTTGCTGACACATATCAATCAGCAAAGTATAACTTTTCCTGCCTAGGCATCAAAGTGATTATACTCAATGGGAATAAAACATTTGACGTAAATATTTATCAGCAATTATTACATAAATCGATTATAATATCCTTTATATTTCATCCGAGACTTCTCCGGCAACAAATTCAACTCTATATTTTGTGAAAAGGAATATTCTCAGATAAATTATGAACATACAAAAATGGAGATATATTTATATAAAGCAATACATCAAGAATTCGCATTCTCTATGTGATGAGAATATCAACTCTTTTTCAGTTTATTCAATAGAAACAACTACTTTCCTGGTTATATGCCACGACGAAAATTGAATTATATCTACTGAACACACACGATGAGAGTTTGAAAATAAAATATAAAATCTTCAGAAATTGAGAATTTGCATTCTCCTTCAGACAAAAATATGTATATGCAGATATCACTCTGAATATTCAACAGAAAACAACTACTTTCCTGGCTGTCGCATGACAAATTCTATTTTTCGAATGTGTCGAAAAATCCATACACTCACAGCTCTGCTCGTGTTGTCTTCTTCTTTCCACTTTTTGTAGGTTTTTTCGATATCACCGATTTCATTCTGCTTATCCTCGACATAGGCGTAACGTAGGGGAAAGCAAAGGAATAGGATATGGGTGCAGTCAAATTGACAATAACGTAAAATGCAAACTTGAAGCAAGATATTTGAACATTATATGAGTTGAACTTAATATTATGAGTTAAAATAGTAAACACGCATGTGAATTCACTAATTTTTTTATGAGTTGGGTATTGGGACGAAACACTGGCTATTGGCCACCTCTCTTATTTCTGGAGGAGTAACTACTTTCAGGCCGCTATCACTGTCCATTATATAATAATTTAAATATACCGATATTTTTTCGCACAAGTGTCAGAAATTTCATGAATTGTCAAACTATAATTATCATGGACATTTCCATAGCAACCAACCATTCCAACAACTGCGATTTCTATCAAATTTTATTTTAATTAAACACTACAGGAAAAATAAAGAGATTGTGGAAATTGTAATAATTTGCAAATACAATATCCTCCTATATCATTATGAACAATCGGAGAAAAAATTATATGTTCAACTCGGCCGCAAAGTAGATTGAGTCAATCTACTACTTTGCTGCCTAGTTAGACAAATAACTATTCATGCTAAGAATACTCGAAAACTATCTGACTGTAGTGACGGTGACAGTTGTTGTCGGAGTATAAAAAATGTGTTGATTGAAAGCATAAGACATATTATACAAAATAAATGCCTGATGGTGATTGATCGGTTTTAGGAAATTGAAGAATTAGCAATGAGCAGTCATGATCATAATAATATATTGTACCAATGATTCATCCAAAACATAAAGCAGGTATAAATTCTTCTTTGGAAATATTGAAAACTATTTTTTCCATAGTGTACAAACATCGAAAGTAAGTCAAGAATAGTGAGAATATTTCGTACCCATATTGATGAATAATCTCCACAAAAAATAATAGTCGTAAAATTATTTTTTTTTGTCGATTTTTTCATCCACTATTACCTCTTACCTGCCGATGTATTATGAGAAGTAGACATGAATCATCTTAATGTAACAAAATTTTCAAATTTACATAATCATGTTCCACATGCATTTCTGAGGAAAATCGTTCCACGGTTTTGACGTTGTCCACACAATGTCCACACAAACCCCTGGCGCCGTGTAGTGAGTAAATAAGCAGACTGGTAGTAATAAGGCCCATTGAAATGATTGAAATCTACGTGATTATGTCTTCCGTCAGAATTGCTGTTCTGTAGGTACTTTAGGTGGGAAAAAGGGGAATTTTATTTTGATCTCTCAATTTGTTTCAAGGTGTCAATCGATTGGATACGTCAACTTTGTATAAGGATTCTGAATAATTATTGCCATTCATCACAATATAACCTTGTATATCGGAACTAATGAATTTTTGAGGAGGCTCGGCATCCGTTGCCTCCTCTGAACAGCCATTTCTGATTGGAATAAGAGATATTCAATAGGATTTGAACAGCGATTTGTTTCATATGAAATCATTCAACTCATCATTTCAATGTCCTGGTATCAGAATATATAGAAAAAATTGAATATTCAATCGATCTCTTGGCAGAGTATTAATCTGATAATGGCAATGAACCCGCCTCAATTCCCCACTGCATTCTAGATGTCTCGAAACTCATGCAATTATGCCTCTCGAGGCAAGCTCTCGAAAAACGTTCACGGAGAAAAAGATAAATGCTAAGTAAAAAATTTAATTCACTTTATTTCCGTCGAGAAACGGTTTTTACGCCGCCGACTAATTTCAGCCGATGATTAATTTCGCCCTGTTTGTTGCAGTAAAACCTCAAAGTGTGAATATTTTAACACAAGAAAAGTACGTGTCGGCTGATAAAAGATACGAAGTGGAATGCCGGACGTCCGGTTCCAGACCAGACGCCGTAATCACCTGGTGGAAGGGGAACCGGCCTGTCAAGAGGCTAGCAAAAAACGTGAGTATTAGGATTTTTTCTTGTTAAATGACTGTTGGACATTTAGGCGCTTTTACAATCCGGATTGACGAATTTCCATTATTTGGCATATACTACCCAGACAGCACCAGATATTCCATGAATCTCCCTATCATATCCCTTTTGGAATATTGGAATATTCTAGAAATAATCTGGAATATTCCGGAATATCTGTGGAATATTCTCTAAATATGCGAATGGGAATTCCTCAGATAATCATAGAATATACACAAAAGAATATTCTATGTTGAATGTTCCTGGAATATCCCAATAAACATATTCTGAAATTGAAAAAAGTGACCCAAGTAGGGATCGAACTCGTGACCTCAAGACTATCAGAGCAACGCCTTGACCACTAGGCCAGTAATCGAATTGAATAATGTTATACATATCAAGTTCTTGTGAGAGCATTGTTCGAAATCGGATCATAAACACTTTTTGTTTCAAAATCCCCTTACATCTAATTGATGTTCGATACTCACATCTCTGGAATAATAAATGTTATTTATGTGTTGAGAAACATAGGAATATTCATGGAATATTTCATGAATATACCGCACAGAATATTCAGTTGGGTATATTTCATGAATATAACGCACAGAATATTCAGTTGGGTATATTTCATGAATATACAACAGAGAATATTCAGTTGGGAATATTCCTGGAAGATTCATACTTGAGTATTCCCTGAACATGTCCGACTATTCACTTTGGAATATTCCTTTTAGATGTTCCAGAGGCATGTATATATTCTAGGAATAATCGATGAATATTCGGAATATACTCCTCCTTTTTAGCATATTTAGAGAATATTCTATGAATATCCAGTGCTGTCTGGGTAGAGGTGACAACAACTGACGAATAATGATAAATGACATAAATATAGTAATATAATGTACTCCGTTGATTAGAATATACAGGCTGTCCCATTTTCGATGTCCTTACGGAATATCTCACCTATTTTCAAAGATAAAGATGCGCGGTTGCCGCAGCAACTTTTTTGTGAATCTCACGATTCCTCGAACCAAATTTTCATAACTCACCTCGTGTTTGACACACATGGTGAAAATGCAAACGGTTCATTTTGCGATTCCCCGAATCTCAGCCATATTTCAATCTACATGTTTCACGTAGAATGCAGTGACGTAGCCAGATTTCCAACATAAGCTCCGAGTATTCAGTTATGTTCTTTTCAATGAAACACCTTGTGTATTATTTTATATTTGAAATATAAATGCTCTGCACTTTTTGGAAATATATGACACTTGTGATGAATTTCAAGTATAATTCACGCATTCAGAGAGTTTTCAATAGATATTTCATCGATGACCCTTTCAAATATTTCACAATACTGGCAACATTGTCCATATCACAAATTCCGAAATATACTTTGTAGCTGATACAGTGCGTTTCGTCACACACTAGTAATGATTTCATTAACCAATATTCAGCACTATTCATTGACTCTAAAAGCTGTGACCCAATTAGTTGATGGCTATGAAAAATAAAGTGCTGAATATTGTCACCTACCTGTCGAATTTTCAAGATTTTCATACAACGGCAAATGATAATTCAGGATATCAAAACAACGAAATTTCAGGAACCAATTTATATCCAAACCTTACTTAATTTTTCATTCACCATCGTGTAAAAGATGTCTAAATTCGACAAGTAGATGACAAGGATTAAAGAAAATTCTATACACTCGCTTTTTGTTCATAGCCACCTACTTATAAGGCTACAACTTTTATAGTCAATATAAGTGCTGGATATTTGTAAATGTTGAATTTTTTAAAAATTCAAATTAGTATATGACGGAAGATTGTATCAGCAATAGAGTAAATATGAAAAGTTATATGAAAAATGTTGCCACATAGAAGAATATAATGAAATACTCTAATATAAATAAATTGAAAAAACAATTCAAAGACCATATTCACAACGTGGATCGTTTAACTATCCACAAAGTAGTGAATATAAGGAATTTAGTCTAAATATTGCTTTCTTTCAACTGCTGAATTCAAGTGTGATTGTTTTAGTTAAGTTAGTTAGCTATTGTCAATTATAATTGTACATATTTTTTGAATAGCCCTTTTCTGTCTGTCATCTTCATGTTCATCTTCTTAATATTCTGAATTGTAAGCTTTCGTCTTTTTTCATCCACACTCACTCTACTGGAATATCAATATATGATTAAAATGCATGACAAAACCCACGTACAACCCTGCGTTCCTGTGGGCTTTTTGTTTATTGTAACAACTTCTCATATAATAGTATTATTTGATTCTTTCGATTTTAATTATACTTCATTTTAATTACGCCTACTAATTCTACCGTATTCTATTATAACACCCACTGTTAGCCTATGTGGCCTCAAAATTGTATATTTACCTTGCTGTATCGTTGTTGTTGTGAATAAACATTATTATTATTACATATTTTCAAGGCCCATCTATGAAAAATCCGCCGTAAAACTAGAAACTATCTAATTCCATGGCTTATACTCAGAATATCAATTGAGTGTAATATAACTTCTGAAAGCGCAAATATGGAAGGATATACAGGATGATTCATTAGATTTTTTCAACGTGGAAAATATATAAGCGACAGTTCTTACTTCTTCGATAAGTTGAAAGATAACGGAGATACAGGGATGGTCCCGAAATGAAACTTTTTCAATATCGCCCTGTATCTCAAAAGAGAAGCAAGTTATGACAATTTTGTTTGCAAGATCGTGAGTTCCACAAAAAAAGTTGTTCAGGTTCTCAAAAACCGCGTCTCGTCTCGTTTTCGAGACAAGACGCGAGACGAGACTCGGTCAAGACGAGACGATACTTTCATTGGTCTTGTCTCGAGTCTCGTGCAAGACTTCTCGTGTCTCGTGCGAGAGTCTCGCAGGTAAATATTTCTGCGTGCCGACCACAGTTCAGTGGTGCCGACTGCAGACTTGAGAGTTACCGGCTATACTTCAGTCTCGGCGGAAAGATTATTCTCGCACGATGTATTATGTCTTAACGACTGGGTGAAAAACAAAAACCTTCGCGATCGTGAAGGCTATTCCTTGAATGAATAAAATAATGTTGGATTAAAGTTTTTATTTTGTTTATTCGTTTAGAATATACGTGTTATTTTTATCTTATTTTTATAGCTTTCGAATATATAATGCTATGTTTTTTTTTGTTGTTCAGATGTAGGATGTGAGGATGTACCTATTAGGTACTTAATTTTCAATAAATGATTTTATTTTTGTTGTAATTTTCTCTTCATACTCCTAGATTATGCGTCCATATACATCATCAGAACGTATCGACACAGACCGTCGATTAGTAGGAATTTATTTGACTAGAATAGTAAGAAATCAGAATAGCAAATCATCAGAACCATATTTCAGCGACTGCAATATGTACAACCCGTAATTTGTCTAACCGTACTTTGACAGACTGCATTATGTCAGAATGCATAAATCACAATAGTATATCGAAAGACTGCCATATATTCAGAAGTGTACTTTGCCAAACCAGTAAATGAAATACTCTTCATGTCGTCAGAATCATAAAAATATATAATCATAAAGTCATAGAACCGTCAAAGCACAGACTGTAATTCAGCGACCCGTACTCTGTAGACCACCATTTCATCAGAATGAACATTCCCGACCAGCAAACTGGCAGAATTGTGATGTACAGAATCTGAGAATGGCAGAATGCGAAAAGTTCATACCCGTAAAAAGACAGACTGTCGATTTTTGATACCCGTAAAATGAAAGATCCGTACAATGACAGACTCGTAAAAGCACAGACTGCCAATACTCTAGATCCGTAAAATGCAAGAACCGTACATCGACAGACTCATAATCCATCGGACTACCGGAATTTCCGATCCATAATTCATCAAAACCGTAAAACGACAGACCCGTAAAACAACAGAATCGTAAAATGACAGACTCGTACAATGGCAGAATCGTGCAGCTACCAAACCAGTAAATTTTCAGAATTTTTTGGATTAAGACCCGTGAAATAGCAGAACCGTAAAATGGCAGAACCGTACATTGACAGACCCGTAAAACATCAGAACCGTACATCGACAGACCGTCAATATACCAGAATGTGTGAGACGCGTGGAGACTCGGAACAAGCGGTAGCGCATTGTTGCCAAGTTGAATCGATAGAAATTCCTTGCTATACCTACTCAAATCTGATTCAAACTGTTTTATGAAGAATTCTAGAGGGCTGAGAAAGGTTCGTACATTGTAGTATTTGTGTTTGATAATCTGTTTGATCCGAATCAGGAAGATATTGACATGATAATTTGATTGTATCTAGATAAAGAAGTATATATCATTCTTTTTGTTGAAAAATCATATAACAAAACATCAGACATGTGAATATAACGATGTTTTCTATGTATAATAGGTAAATCTATTCTCGGAGATTCTACAGGGTGTCCTTAAAAGGTCTTTACAAAAAGCTACCACATATTCTTCAGACCAAAACAATTCGATACAAGCAAACTTACCTCAGTAAAAAGTTGCTTAGTTTGGGCGCTAGACGGCTCTGAAGTTGAAATTTTCAAATCGATTTTGCTTCATAACTTTTGAACGGCTCATGAGATTTTTTTCAAATTTGGTACGTTGGCATAGACTCATCGGGCAATGAAATTCATATCATAATCATAATGAATATCATTCCATGGGCGTAGAACTTGATTTTTTCAGGAAATAAACATCTAAAACTCCTACGCCAATGGAAAGAAATTAGTTTCAATATGTAATCTGAATTATTCAACTCATTCACTACAAAAAAGGTACTCTTGACAAAAGTCGATTCCTCTCATGGTTTCGACAAAATTTTAATTTTAGTGATTTAGAGCATAATTAATAATAAAACGATTAACAGATATTTCATAAAAATTGTTCAAAATGTTCACCATTTTCACGTATACAAAGATTTATACGACGCAAAAAGTTGAAATGTACTCTTTGC